CTTATTTTCCCATTTGGAAACCTCTCATGTTGATACAACATATTGTAGAAGTTCTCAATTATTTTTCTCTTTTTTCATTTAAATGTTGTATATTCCCTTCTTCATCCACCAATTGACTTATCAGCCTTTTTTCTCTTCTTTTTCACCTTGTAAGCAGCCAACGTCCTGGTTTATTTGCGTTTTCAAAGAAGTTTTGTTTTGCCGATTATATTTTATTTGCCAAGTCCTCATTTTCTATCAGGTTCAATTTATGTTTTTGCAGTTCCATCATATTTTTTACTTTTTTATTTTGTGGGTTTTTCTGCAGCTCCGTCTCCAGACTTCTGTACTCTGATTCCAACTTCTTTTAAATTTGTCTGTTCTATCTATTCTTTTTCCCTAAATATGTCATTGCAAGGCCTCTGATATATGCTTTACAAGTGTCCCTTACATTCTATAATGATGTGTCTTCCTTTCTATTTTCTTGGAAGAAATATGTCAATTCTTTTTCCATACATTGCTGGAAAAAAAATTATTTCAATATTCTTGAGTTTAAAGTCCATCTCCCCTTTTTCCTCCATCCCTTCCAAGTCATTGATATTGGATTGTGATCTGCCCATGTGCTTATATCTATGGCTATCTTAATTGTTTTGAATGTTAGCTCTGTTGACATCCATATCATATCAATTCTTGACCACGAAAAATGTCTGAGTAGAATGTATATTGTCTGTCTTTCGGGTGTCTTATTCTACAGACATCTTGCAAATTTAATTCTTCCATCATCGTGAAAAACGTTTTGGGTGGGATTTTTCTCAGCTTCTTGTTCATCTTTGTAGGTTTATAATCTATTCCATTATTTACAATTGCATTAAAGTGTTCTAATATACATATACACTATATTACCAAAAGTATTCGCTCACAATTGCTTCTGATTATTTGGCTGGGTGAGCGAATACTTTTGGCAATATAGTGTATCTTCATAGTCATATTCTATTATCTTTTTGTGTAATTTTCCAAAGAATTTTTGTTTTTGTCATTTGGGACATATATTGTCACTAATATTATCTTTCTCATGTTCATGGTTATTTTGACCATCAGTATTCTCCCCTCCCCGTCTTCAAAAATTTTATTGGATTATATTGTCTTTCTAATATATAATGCTATTCCCTTTTTGCTTTGGTCCGTCAAAGTCGTATATAAATTACATAGTTTTGCCTGTTCTAAAAATTTTCTATGTTGCTTTCTAATATGTACTTCCTGTAAGCATATAATGTCCAATTTCAATTTCTCTAATTTGTTGAATGTTCTTTTTGTCGCCGAGTTTAATCCATTTATATTAATGGAGATTACTTTTATTTCTTCCTTCATGTCATTGGTTTATAGGTTTAGTTGATCTAATTTCTCTTAGCTCTCTCTGCTCTTTGACTCTTTGGCCCTTGCTCCTTCTCTTAGCCTTTCTCCATCTCTCTTTGATCTTAGCTTCCTGGTGTTTAGCTCCTTTCTCTTCTCTTACCAGCTTTCCCTCCTGTGCTGCTATATGTTGTTAATAAAATATTTCTGCTTTCTCTAATGAATCTAGTCTGTACCTTTGTTCGTGCCAGTTTACTAAAATCCCTTCTGGAGTAAGCCATCTAAAACTCACCCCTTTTTTGATCAGACTCTTAGTCAGAAAGTGGTATTACTTTCTCATTTCTCTGAACTTCCTTGGGACTTGCTTCAATACCACAATCTCTGTAGACTTGTATTTTATTGTGGTACTTCTTACTGCTTGCAATATTTCATTTTTAGAGGTTGTTGTTTTTTGACAAATCTTACATGTACCTCTCTGGGCAAGTAGGTAAAAAGTGATCCAAAGTAACCAAATGAATAAAAAAAAACCTTTAGTATGAGTTATCTGGGTTATCCAAGTTTCTAAACTCACCCCCCACCTCCGTAGGAAAAGAGGGGAAAGAGAAACTATCAGGAAGACATTTCTCAGCAGCCCATTATAATGTAGCAAGGGAAGGGAAGACAATGTTTACACAGCTGGTCTTATTTCTTTCTTCTAGTGGATTTTTATCAGTTCGTTGTTATCCACAATGATTCAAGGTCAACTCTTCTTAGGCAGCTTTTACCGGGCACCATTTACTACTTACTACACAGCAATGCAGACAATTAATTCAACATGTTTCCTTTTCCTAGCTGCAAAAGCAAATCTCAGTGATTTTTGAAAGTTACCAAGAAAATCAAAGGCATAGAGTGAAAGTTAAACACCAAAAGCTTCTGATTTGCTTTTTAACATCCTTAAGCACTTCTCAAGATCTATCATTTCCTTTCTTCTGTCTATTGGCTCTGTCTGGCCTTCCAGCTGGGATAACTCGCATTGGCTACCTTTCCTGCTTTGGGTC